TTATCGTATATATTACGTTAAGCATTTATCTACTAAGTACTTAATGTGTGCTTGGCTTTATAATCTTATATTGACGCTTGAATTTGTTGTCATACTTTATAGTAGCCTATAAAACTTTTTTCTGTGGATGTTTCGATGAATTTTCGGATGCATGCTGTAAATTGGCCTTGCGGTGAAGTTTTGAAGACGTTTATTATTCATAAAAATTAATAGTTTGCTTTACTTTCCTCTGTTATATGCCTTGTTTGTGTGTTAATATTACCTTATAGTTTAGTTATTTTAATCCCATTTGTATTCACTGAGATAATTGTGTGTGGGCTTTGTAAAAATCGACGCGTTTCAAAAAGGCGGGGCATAGAGGAGAAACAATAATGTACAGTCTGTGGAAAATAATGTGTTTTTGAACCTTAAACCGCATAAACATTTCATTACACCAAGTACACAAAATAATGTTCTTTTTAGCAACATCAAATGACCCCTTTAAAAACCGTAAGGTGGCGTTACTCTGTTAAGAACGTAAGCTCTGCCCCTCACTTCCGGTTCTGTGTCTGCGGTTCTAAAACTGCTGGTGCTGCATGTCTGCAGCTGGATACTATTGGTATAATTGGAGATATATATCTCAATTATACTGATAGCTGGTATGTTAGTAACTATTTTTTTAGTTACTAAAACATTACTGTAGTAAAACAACCATGTTTTACTACGTTTATACATGTGAAGACGAGTGGAGAGTATATAATATTAGATAAAAAAAATTAGCTAGCTATACGTGCATATTAACATGAATTAGCCATGCGACCATATAATATGATTAAATGTTAATAAATTAAGTGTATCAGCAATCATAAATCAAAGAAGAAATTTCTTAGAAATATATTTTACCTAGGTGATGAGGATCACTCAGTCGCTTTGTGTCAAACTCAAATGCAGTTACGGGGTTTTTGACCAGCGAATGTGTGCAAATGTGCATTTTGTCCATCATTAAAACGGCGGCATCTTACGTTTTCATCAACAGGTTACACAGTTTGTTGTAGCTATATGGGCGTTCAGTTTTTTCCTGATGTAAAATACATTTGGCCAAAATCTCATTTTATAAAAGATGAAGTGCTACTGTATGCACAGGATATTAAAGTGTAGGCTACTGGCTATGATTAGATGGCGAATGCTAGCCCTCTCTCTCCGGTCCCACATGTCTCAGACCTCAATTACATAAAATATGAGCTTTTATAGACAAGGGTGACCAATATCATTGATTTATTGAAGAAGAAAAAAAACACCACCAAAAGGGCACTTCTGAGTGTAAGGGCAAAAAGGGCATGTTCTCTGCACAGGTTGAGCCCTACCTGTGCACATGCCTGCCACGGGATACAGACCATATATGGCATTACACCGTGTAACATATGCAGTCAATTACCTGCGTCTGCGCGTCTCTCTCTACAAACAATGAAGCTGAGTTTACTTCAAACACAGCGATTTTACCCCCTCGTTGCTGATGAATATAATGTAGCGATCCAGTATTTTATTAATAAAAGTCGCGGAACAGCGTTGACCACAAGTTTCTGTGCTCTGAATGTTTCTCTGTGCACAGCGCGATCTCCGATCTCACAAACCAAAATAATAGACATGATTTTCTCAGGCCACACGTAAAATTAGATGAATTAATAAAAAGATTATTAAAATTAATACGTATGGATGACGGTTGATGACAATAACAGTTCAGTTAATTCCCCTCATTAGTAACAGTTTCCCCCGGGGGATAAATAAAGTTAATATTAGTGATAATATTACTTGATTAACATTGTGATTTATTATCCCTGTTATAGTATTATTATAGCATCAGATCTTTTTTTCACCATGTTTTCAAGTTCTCCACCTCAGCTCCAAAAGAAATGTAGAAAGAATGAAAAAAACTGAAAACACTAAATAATTTTGTGCTGACATGGATGTTTACAGAGGTCACCTTTTTTAATTCCAAAGGGAGAGATGGACTTTTGTTTGTCTTTATTATTATTTTGTGACATATTTCTGTTTCAGTTTTCAGCAATAAATAACACTTTAAAATCTAAAGAGTGAGGCCTGATGAACACTTAACAATATTCTGTTCAAGCTTCATCAAAGTTTAAGCATTAGCTTATTTACTTCTTCAATACCTGAAAATAGCATGCAGTTTAATAATTATACAATGAGAGTAAACATGAAATCATATATATACACGTATATACCTACATGTATATCTAGAAATACATATAGTGAGATTAACCTCTTTTGAACAAAAACAGATGTTTTCTGGCCATTACATCCAGTCGTAGTAGTAGTTATTTATTTCTATTGTCAGCAACAAATCTTCATGGCAAAAACTGAGTTTCAATAATATAAGAGTTACATAAACACAAAATAAAAAAAGGGCATGTTCTCTGCACAGGTTGAGCCCTACCTGTGCACATGCCTGCCACGGGATACAGACCATATATGGCATTACACCGTGTAACATATGCAGTCAATTACCTGCGTCTGCGCGTCTCTCTCTACAAACAATGAAGCTGAGTTTACTTCAAACACAGCGATTTAATAGCATGCAGTTTAATAATTATACAATGAGAGTAAACATGAAATCATATATATACGTATATACCTACATGTATATCTAGAAATACATATAGTGAGATGAACCTCCTTTGAACAAAAACAGATGTTTTCTCGCCATTACATCCAGTAGTAGTAGTTATTTATTTTTATTGTCAGCAACAAATCTTCATGGCAAAAACTGAGTTTCAATAATACAAGAGTTACATAAACACAAAATTCAGTGGGGGTAAGCGGGTGTTGGTTGTCAACAGTTCAGAAGACGGTAAAAATAAAGTGCGTGCATCCATAATAAACAGTCCCTCACACGACATCCGGGGGGTGAATAAAGGCCTCCTGTAGCGAATCCATGCATTTTTGTAAGACAAATATCCATATTTCAAACCACAGCGATTTAATAGCATGCAGTTTAATAATTATACAATGAGAGTAAACATGAAATCATATATATACGTATATACCTACATGTATATCTAGAAATACATATAGTGAGATTAACCTCTTTTGAACAAAAACAGATGTTTTCTGGCCATTACATCCAGTCGTAGTAGTAGTTATTTATTTCTATTGTCAGCAACAAATCTTCATGGCAAAAACTGAGTTTCAATAATATAAGAGTTACATAAACACAAAATAAAAACCAAGCAAACAGGAAAAATACAGCAGTTAAAATCATCCACTACATCCAGTCTTGTACTGCAACCACTATTAAAGGGTTAGTTCACCCAAAAATGAAAATTAGCCTGTGTTTTGCTCACCCTCAAAGCATCCTAGGTGTATGTGACTTTCTTCTTTCAGACAAATCCAATCGGAGTTATATTAAAAATTGTCCTGGCCCCTCCAAGCCTTTCAGTGGGGGTAAGCGGGTGATCAGTCGTTACAATAGTGACAGAAATATGTTCACAATTCTGTTTCATTCCGACTTTAAAGGGTTAGTTCACCCAAAAATGAAAATTAGCCCATAAATTACTCACCCTCAAGTCATCCTAGGTGTATATGACTTTCTTCTTTCAGATGAATCCAGTCGGAGTTATATTAAAAATTGTCCTGGCCCCTCCAAGCCTTTCAATGGGGGTAAGCGGGTGTTGGTTGTCAACAGTTCAGAAGATGTTAAAAATAAAGTGCGTGCATCCATAATAAACAGTCCCTCACACGGCATCCGGGGGGGTGAATAAAGGCCTCCTGTAGTGAATCCATGCATTTTTTAAAGATAAATATCCATATTTCAAACGTCATAAGCACTTTTTTCTCACTTCCACTGATTGTCATACACGGAAGCCGTTCCGGCGGATGACGTAAGACGTCGGCGTTGCGTGATAAGTGACGAACGCGGAGACAAAACAAAACGCCGTTCACGAATTAGAAGCACAAAATGAGAATTTGTAAAGAAAAACATCGGAGGATTTCGATATAAGCCAAGAGGAGACTGGTTTTCCTTTGCTAAAGTAAGGAAACTTTCCTCACACCTCAACAACATACACATAGAAGTTTCACTAAACTTTTTTTATGAATGTAAAAGACCTCAAGTATAGCATGGTTAAAAAGAAAAAAGAAAACACAACCAGCAAATCGAGGACTTTTTCCTGATGGTTAAATCAGCATGGTTAGCTGCATGCATGGCCACAGGTTATCAGCACATCGGTCTGAGACATAGACCAGGCCTCACTGCATGGATACAGATAATTTAGCAGCATTCAAACTCAAAACACTCAAAGCATGAACAACAAGTTTCACTTTTAGAGTGAGTTGTATTCCAAGTATTATTGATCTTGATTTTGAAAAGCCATGTGCTTGAAATGGTGCTATGGGCCAAATTCAGGTATTTTGCCATTGAAAATGATAATACTCAAAAACTGTGTGTGTGTTGGGGACCCAAGCAACAATATAACAAATACCTTTATATGGAGGTGTACATTCACGTCCACATATAGTGCTGCAGCATTTCTCATCTTTCGGACAGTCAATGTCATGGGCACACAACTTGGCACACAATCCTACTCCAAGGACTCTCCTTGGACACACTCCTGGTTTTTCTGTTATACAAACACACGACAATTACCCCTAAACTGCCATTACAATGTAGAACCTACCCCACTACTGGTGTGGTGTACTAACGCATAGTAATGCGATTTCGATATAAGCCAAGAGGAGACTGGTTTTCCTTTGTTAAAGTAAGGAAACTTTCCTCACACCTAAACAACATACACATAGAAGTTTCACTAAACTGAGATTTTTTTTATGAATGTAAAAGACCTCAAGTATAGCATGGTTAAAAAGAAAAAAGAAAACACAACCAGCAACTCGAGGACTTTTTCCTGATGGTTAAATTAGCATAACCACCCCAACCACCCCATTAAGCCCCTGTATAGTTCTTGAAAGGTTCTCAAACTCTCTCTTAGTTTAGTTAGAAAGGGTTAAAAAAAAGACATTAAAATGTGTTTAAATTATGTCAGGCCTCACTGCATGGATACAGATCATTTAGCAGCATTCAAACTCAAAACACAGCACAAGAAAATGGTAAAAAAAAAAAAAACGTAATTCACACTTATTTAACTATATAAATACCTGCATATGGAGGCATACACTGATGTCCACATCCATTGCTGCAGCATTTCTCATCGTTTGGACAGTCACTGTCATGGGAACACGATTCGACACACATTCCTAACACTGCTACTTGAAGATTGTTTATAGGACATACTCCTGGCTTTGCTGATGTACAAAACATAACAGAAAAACTGCAATCACTGAATAAAAAAAAATTCAGTCCATCTCCTGTCAAGTTTAATTCAATGTGTTGCTTGTGGTTTCTCTGCAATTATTTGTGAAAGTTAACAGCAATTGAGTGAAAACTCCACAATCATATCGAAAGTATGCGTGTCTTCTAGAGCGGTCTTTATTAGAAACACACAACAGTCAGAATCGCCAGACACCGACTGGCCACTAATGAAGAGGATTCAAGAGGATCATTAGGGGAGACCAGGGAGTGCTGAAATGGCTTTTTTCAGTACTTGTAAGTCAGGGGCTTTGCTACGCATGTATCAAACTTAAGTATAATAGCCACAAATTACTCTGCATCAAATCAAAATAGTTTAGAAATTTACCAATTACCCCTAAACTGCCATTACAATGTAGAACCTACCCCACTACTGGTGTGGTGTACTAACACATAGTAATGCTAATATAAAACATGGACATTGGTTAATATTTTAATACATGTTAATAAATAATTATAATACACAAAGGTTCTTTGGGGTGGTTGTGGTTGTGGTGCTATATAGTACAGCTACAGTATAAAGAACCTGTTAAACCCAGTATGGTTCTTCAGTGTGGCAGTGGTGCTATATAGTACCTTAACCACCCCATTAAGCCCCTGTATAGTTCTTGAAAGGTTCTCAAACCCTCTCTTAGTTTAGTTAGAAAGGGTTAAAAAAAAAAAGACATTAAAATGTGTTTAAATTATGCGGAAGAAATACAATCCCTGATAGCACACGTACATCACAGAGACGTCTATTTGACGTCTGCATTTACATCTGCAAGACGTATTTTTTTTTAAGAGTGTTTGCTATAGGATGTTTCCTATCAGGTGTCAAATAGACGTTTAGAAGATGTCTTTAAGTTGTTTATGATTTAGAATGTATGTAAAACTGACATCTTAAAGACGTCTATCAGATGTTTGTACATGGCAGATGCTTTCCAGATGAAGCGATCTTTAACAGACATCTTGCAGACGTACGTGTGCTATCTGCAAAACACAGCACAAGAAAATGGTAAAAAAAAAAAAAACGTAATTCACACTTATTTAACTATATAAATACCTGCATATGGAGGCATACACTGATGTCCACATCCATTGCTGCAGCATTTCTCATCGTTTGGACAGTCACTGTCATGGGAACACGATTCGACACACATTCCTAACACTGCTACTTGAAGATTGTTTATAGGACATACTCCTGGCTTTGCTGATGTACAAAACATAACAGAAAAACTGCAATCACTGAATAAAAAAAAATTCAGTCCATCTCCTGTCAAGTTTAATTCAATGTGTTGCTTGTGGTTTCTCTGCAATTATTTGTGAAAGTTAACAGCAATTGAGTGAAAACTCCACAATCATATCGAAAGTATGCGTGTCTTCTAGAGCGGTCTTTATTAGAAACACACAACAGTCAGAATCGCCAGACACCGACTGGCCACTAATGAAGAGGATTCAAGAGGATCATTAGGGGAGACCAGGGAGTGCTGAAATGGCTTTTTTCAGTACTTGTAAGTCAGGGGCTTTGCTACGCATGTATCAAACTTAAGTATAATAGCCACAAATTACTCTGCATCAAATCAAAATAGTTTAGAAATTTACCAATTACCCCTAAACTGCCATTACAATGTAGAACCTACCCCACTACTGGTGTGGTGTACTAACACATAGTAATGCTAATATAAAACATGGACATTGGTTAATATTTTAATACATGTTAATAAATAATTATAATACACAAAGGTTCTTTGGGGTGGTTGTGGTTGTGGTGCTATATAGTACAGCTACAGTATAAAGAACCTGTTAAACCCAGTATGGTTCTTCAGTGTGGCAGTGGTGCTATATAGTACCTTAACCACCCCATTAAGCCCCTGTATAGTTCTTGAAAGGTTCTCAAACCCTCTCTTAGTTTAGTTAGAAAGGGTTAAAAAAAAAAAGACATTAAAATGTGTTTAAATTATGCGGAAGAAATACAATCCCTGATAGCACACGTACATCACAGAGACGTCTATTTGACGTCTGCATTTACATCTGCAAGATGTATTTTATTTTATTTTTTAAGAGTGTTTGCTATAGGATGTTTCCTATCAGGTGTCAAATAGACGTTTAGAAGATGTCTTTAAGTTGTTTATGATTTAGAATGTATGTAAAACTGACATCTTAAAGACGTCTATCAGATGTTTGTACATGGCAGATGCTTTCCAGATGAAGCGATCTTTAACAGACATCTTGCAGACGTACGTGTGCTATCTGGGATTGGAGAATGAGAGAAAGCCAAGACATGATTGGCTGTAGTCTTTGAATGAATATGTAAACTGATAAGAGGCTCGACAGTAGGAGGTGTTTGTGAAGTCAGTCATAACTAAATTGTCACAAACATCAATAAAAAGACTATGGGCCTCATTCATGAAACTTGCAGAAATAGGAGTAAATTAGGAGTAATTTGACCGTTAAACAGACATTCCCGAAAATGCCTCCTAAACAGCATTTTGTGGCACAGCGTTCTTCCAGTTGAGACGCTTTGGTTGCTATGATACTAGTATCTCATTTTGAAAAATGTGGTTCAGTCATTGTACAAGTAGGATGGTTGGCCGGTATAGTTTTTGTCCCGCCCCTCCTTCACTGATTGGATGGCTGGGTAAAAAGTGACATTGACGAGCGCTGGGTTTTACAGTTAAAAAGTTTTCAACTGTCAGCTACCAAAATAAATAAATAAATAAAAGGAACTTGTGAAATATTATGGTAGTGCATCAAAATGCAGTGTCATCAGTTTGCCAAAAACAATACAGAACGTTTAGGCATCGTTTACACGTGGTAGGGAGCAGGTATCTTTCGTACAAACTAACATTTTGAAAATAGCATTTCCATGAATGCAAAATTTTATGTCAGAACGGCTTTACGAACGATTTACACACAAACACACACACACACAAAAACGTTCTGCTTGTGTTTCACGAATGAGGCCCTGTGTTCCTATATTAACTGCTGTTATGTAGTCAAATAATTAGGTATAGGTGCCATATAATACCAAAAGAGGTTCCCCTATGATTACGAGCCGAAGAACCACTGTTGGGTAGGCTACTGTTGAGCACCATTTTTGTTGAAGCAATATGGCACCTCTGGATCTACATTTGACAAAGGTGCTGTATAGCACATTTAAAAGATAGGTGCTAAATGGCACTTAAAGAGGTTCTCCTATTATTACAAGCCAAAGAACCACTTTTAGTGCTATTTAGCACCATCACAAGCAAAGTTACATTTTAAGCATTTTCATACACAAGAATAAATCTAAATATGGTAAGTTTGTAGCAAAACAGAACACATTAAACCCATGCGATCAGACTATTTGAACAAGTGGCTTGTTAAGTAGTACTTAATTAATGTTATAAGTTATAATTAGCTCCCATGCTAAACTGAATAGTTGTTAAACGGGTAAAGTACAAATCATTTGGAAAATTTAACAAAGACTTCAGTAGTGATGGCATACATACCTGGTAACAACTCTTTATCCAATTGAACGGTTCGTTTTACTGTAAATAAATAAATAAATAATGCCCATCTTCGTCATTGTGTTTTCCTTGTACAATGGAAAAATATAAACACATAAGAACTTACGATTTAGATATAAACTTAATTAGGCTATTTAAACTACGCCAACATACAAAGTTTAACTTCAACTGGACATTTGTAGCCTACTATTTATTTGTTCTGACATGTGCCTAAAGTCATATTTTGTATGTGCAGCCTACTTATTTACATATTTTCTTCGCGCTGTGTAATGAAGTTAAAAGGTCTCACCTGTGACACGTACTCTGGCATCTGTTGTGCTCAAGTATACAGAGAGACACAACAAAACGGCAATCAACGAGCAGCACACTCGAGCTGGCATCCTCTCGACCTGCGGTCTCACAATGGACTCTGCTGGAAAAACGCGCTGAATTGGTGGGTCAGGAGGCTTTTAAAGCGCTTTTTGAAACCGCATTTTTAAAGATCCAAGGTCTGGCGCAACTCCAGCCCTAAAACTCACCTGCCTGTAGGCTAGTAGCCATAATCTTGAAGACCCTGATTAACTTGTTCAGGTGTGTTTGATTACGGGTTTTTCAAAGTGGACTCCCGAAATCGATTTGGGTCTGCTTCATTTACTTTTGGTCAATATCAAGGTTTTTATACAGTGGTGTTTATGACACTTTATAGATGAGCACACATAATCCATATCTGATATTCATTTTTATTTATTTGACTTTTTAATTTGTAGGCTATATGCAGTTTTTTTCCACTGTGCCTATTAAAAAGTTTGACTGTAGAATGTTTTCTAAAAAAGTTCAGTATGTTATTTGTTATTTATCTGTATATAATCCTGTTAAAATGGAGGCTGGTCTTGGGCATTAAAATCATGGACTGAAAATAGGCCCCACTCCAGTCCTGTTTCTAAGCATAAGGTATTTTTATAATAAAATAACTTCATTTCTTTTTGTGCTAGAACGGACAAATACAGTGGAAAAAAAACTTCAAAATTCCTGCTTGCCAAGTATTCACATAAATACAATTAGTTCCAGTGGTGCAATTCCTGGGGAGGTGGGATGGGGATTGAAAAAAAATGTGGAAAAATTCCCTCTTCAGCCTAATACTTTATTTTTGACTATACAATCTCTATTCCGTTCCTGCTGAATGGTGGCTCAAAACGCTCCCCAAATAGCAAGAAACCACTGAAACATTGTCAATGTTAATGCGCAAATGCAAATTGCATTGAATTAATGTTACAAAGTGATGTTGGTTCAATATCACTTTTGCATCTGAAGTTAATGCTGAAACAAGGTTGTGATTTCAACACAATATTGAATCAATGATATTCATTCTACAGCACTGTTGAGTCAACATTGACATGAACAAGAATCATTGATAATATTGTTCTGTGTTACATTGTCATGTCATCACTCTTGTTGAATCAATATTTAATTTAAAAATAATCATATTGTTGGATCAATGTGTTGATTCTAAACCCTTTTGCTGAAACACTGAAAATACAATTAATTGAAATGTCAAAATAAAAGAGTGTTGCCATCTGATGTACCAAGTTAATGTTGAAACAACATTAATATTTAAACTACACTATACATCAACAAATCCCTAATTTCAAAGTTTGGGGGAAACCTTTTAAAATAAAAATGACACCTGAACACACCTGACATCATAAACATTGCTTCCCAACTCGTAAATACAAACCCTGAAAGCACCATTAGCCTACTTCTGCATAGCATGTTCCAAGGTCAAAAAATAAACTTTTCCATTAAGGGGCAATATTTGCCCCATGGGACTGATTTTGAGGGGCATTATTTTATCTTCATTTTTATAATTAGGCTAGCTTATTAATTGTTTCTGTGTTATCTTTTATGTCAAATACTTAAATTTAGCCAATTACTAAAATCGATCAAATATAAACTGTTACCAATAACAACAAACTGTTTAAAATGGTATATTCCACGTTTAAAAAAACAGGGACTCATTAGGCTGCAATATTATGACAACAATTATTGTTAATTATTGCTCTTGATATTGTAATAATGACTACTAATGTCGTTTAAGAGAATACATTAAAAAAAACAGTCTATGCTTGGACAAACGGCACGTCATATTCTGGCTACAGACAAACATGTCAGCTTATGATGTTAGTTTATAGCGCAAATTATACAACTTCCATTACAACCAGTGAAGCTGTCTATGAGGCGAAATTATTCTCTTACATTGTATCTGCAGTTTGTTGTTTATGATGAAAGAATTCACAAAAATGCAGAATTTATGCATGCACGTGACAAGACTCAACAAAAACTGGTGTTTTCTTTTGTGGGAAAAAGATTTTTTTTAAAAATGTGTTTTTAATTGTCTGTTTTAAAAGTGTTGTGGTATGAGAGCAATTTTTTTTAGCGGTAAGTGCTGATCTTGAAAAACAGAGATATCTAAACATCTCCCTCTGATACTAAAAGGCTGTCCAGAGTCTCGCACCGAGCAGTTTGACCACACCTGTCTGAAGTAATTCTGAAGACCTCGATTAGCTGGTTCAGGTGTGTTTAAATTGGGGTTGGAACAAAACGCTGCGGGTGGCCCTCCAGGAGCTGAATCTGACATCCCTGAACTAAAGCATCTGTCTTTGTCTTTTTTTTTGTTTTGTTTTCAGTTTTAAACAGGAGGATAAGGTAGTGTAAGGTGTTGTAATTAAATTTTCTGTGATAAGTTTCCCCATTAACTATCTTTAATCTTTTAGGCTTATTTGTTTTATATGGCCTTTGGATTTTGGCAAAGTGATTTTGATATATTTGTGGTCTTTCATTTTAGCATTCAATTCAGTTGGGCTGAAGGTAAAATGGTCAAACATCACAAATAGCATACATGAAGGCCTAAGGATTTGACATTTTATATGTGTTGTTAGTGCTGTATTTTTATTTATTTATTTATCTTACACTGCAGGAGCTCCACTTGATAGTTGAAGCAGTCACAGTTTCCTTAAAAAAAATAGAGTTCCCTCTGATAAATGTCATTAATGATTTTCTAACTATATAATAAAAAAAAAAATGTGTGGCCCTTTCCTTGAACATTTAGGCCTACATAATATTGTGCAACTAATTATTATTTTTTAACTTAAATATTGTTGCACTTTTGTTGGTTTGATTGCTTCTATCGTCCTCATTTGTAAGTCACTTTGGATAAAAGGTAGTCAGACTGCACTGTTTGACCAATAGGCTATGTTTTCGATTCACTAAGAAGAACCGATTCTTTAAAATCATTCGTTCGGGAATCGGACTAACGTCACTGTCAAACGTCACTGTTAACGGTCAAAAAGTGTGAGATAAGATGTAAGTAGTAAAACAATTAAGCGTTTACACTAGAATGTTAAACTTCCAATATCCAGGGATGCAAACGTTTTGAATTTAAAAAATATATAATTTAATCTTTTGAGCGGTACGGTCCCACATGTGGGATTTTTATTTCTGTGCCCCTGGGAGTACAAAAATTGTAATGAGATTATAATAATTAAATTAATCTTTAAAGAGTCCCTTGCATTTACAGAAAAAAAAATGACATTAATGGGTTACTGTGTTCAGAAGACTGAATGTGTTCCTGCAGAACATTCTAGCTTTGACCAATTGAAACTTTTTTGTTTGTTTCTATTTATCTATAATTTGTGAATTTACCCTGTTCTTCTGATTCTTTTTTTTTACTATGTTAAAAATGCTGTTTATAACATTTGTTTTTGGCACACAATGTAGAGAATATAACTGTTTATTTAGTAAAGGCAATCTGTTCAATTGTTACCAAATATTAATGTATACTTGTGTATACTAGGGTATACTTGGCCCCACCCCTCGAACCATGACCTTTGGGTTATTTTTATATATACCTAAAGAATTCTGCAATTACGTTGCTATTTTTCCTTTACCTAGATTGCACAAATTGGTGATAACTGACATATAAACGAATGCAGATGACATGGTTTTGATTAAATAAAATAAAGTTTTTGTTTAGGTTTTTTTTTCTTCTAAAATTTTACCCCCCCCCTAAAAAAAAAAAAACATAACAGAAATATCGCAATGTATCACCTTTCTTACAATCTCTCTCTCCCTCTCTCTCTCTCTCTCTATATATATATATATACAGTATATATATTGTAACCCCTGCATTTTGATACATATTGTATCGACAATTTCTTAGCAATACACAGACCTGATGAACACTGACAACATTCTGTTCAAGCTTCTTCAAAGTTTAGTGTCCAAGCATCAGCTTATTTACTTTTTCAATACCTGAAAATAGCATGCAGTTTAGTTATTTATTTGTATTGCCATGTCGGCATCTAATGCTTCATGGCAAAAACTAAGTTGCAATAATACAAAAGTTATACATAAACACAAAATATAGCAGCACACCTAGTCTTCATATTGCTACCATCATTAAAGGGATAGCTCACCCAAAAATGAAAATTACACCATAATTTACTCACCCTCATAATTAAACACTCCATTAAAAAATGTCCTGGCTCTTCCAAGCTTTATAATGGCAGTGTGCGGGAGTTTCTGTTCAACAGTCCAAAAGAAATCCAATAAAGTGCATCCATCCATAATAAAAATTGCCTCACATCGCTCCGGTGGGAGTTTTGGGGGGTGGGGGGGGGGTCTGCGGTTGTACATTTTTGGGTGAACTATCCCTTTATTAAGGGGATAAAGAAATGAAAGGGGAGAAAAAAAACGAAATGCTTCTATATTCTTTGTTTTCTTATCTTTTTTTCTGTTATCCTTATAAAAATACGTAAACATTTCCTCATATACTCTTGATTGCCTTTATCCGTTTTGCTAATATCACTTTGAATGATATAATAATTCTCCTCAGACCTAATTGTTGAGATAGCTGAAGTGTTCCTCTTTCATATGCAATACTAATTAGAATGCTTTACTGTTTCTGGGTGTCCACATTTGTCACAACTACCAGTTTCTTGTTTCCCTATTTTGTGCAAAGTGTAGTTTTCTCAGGCTCAAATGATAATCATCTTTCTATTGCCATATCTAATTTTCTCAGCCCCAACACTCCTGGACCTGGTATAAATGTCTTTCTTTTATGCCATTATCTCACATTGATTTCCTTTTTATTTCTATCATTATTAATCTCTTTATTTCAGCTTATTGAAACCTTGATTTCATCTTGTGATGGTTACAGTGCCGTCTTCAGAGAGACTCTTTGCCAAAAGGCAGGTGATTTTCTTAAACGAGGCTTTTAAAAATGCAAAACACACTGTACAAATGAATAAACTAACATAAATTATACAAACCTTCATTTAATTGTATTTGATGGTTTGAAGACTGCGTTTAACAGACTACACATTACCTCCTCAATTATAGTACCATTAAAATCAGTCAAAAAATAAACTTTTTCCAAGTGTCTCTTTTCTGAGTTTATTATACCAGATAACACACGCACATCTGAACGATGTCTTTTAAAGAACATCTGATAAACATCTTTTAGATGTCCATTTATACATTCTAAATCATAAACGTCTATTTGACATCTATTGGGAAACGTCTTGGAGATGTCTTGCAGATGAGCAAACGCTCTAAAAAATACTTCTTGCAGATGTAAATGTAGATGTCAAATAGAGGTCTCTGTTATGTATATGTGCTATCCAGGATATGGAATATAAAATTGCTCCTACCACACCACTGACACTTTTAAACGTTTTCCCCATTCATTTTAATCATAAAGCCTTGTCACATTGTTTGCTATCTCTGCAATATACTAACAGACTTCCATTACTTATTTTGGGAACCTTTTTTGGCGGGACAGTTGTAGACAGACAATAATACTACAAACCCAGACATCTCATTCATTCTCAGTCATGTTTGGGTTTAAATAGAATTTATTAGGCATTAAAATGTTTAAAACACAAAAAACCCCAAAAGCAATTATGATACAGATATAACAATTGCTCAGATACAACAAAAATCATGAAATCACCGTTTATACTATTACTTTTTGGAGTAATTTCCAAATACAATGATTTACTCTTACTTTGATAAAGAGATTTTAAAAGGCAAAAGGGAACAAGAACACAGGGTTCTCCTGGTGGCCCCCTTTGGATGAACCAGCTGTGGCTATCGGAGCTAACTCAGCTACTGATAGCGGCCCCTTGGCCTGTTCCACTGAGACGGGATCTCCTCTCTCAAGCGAACGGGGCATTATGGCATCCTCGGCCCGACCTATGGGGCCTGCACCTCTGGCCGCTCGACGGCAGCCTTCGTACCTCCCAGAGCGAGTCTTAAACACAATTTCGGAGGCTAGAGCTCTGTCTAC